AAAACTTTAAATCAAAATAAAGAATTTTAAAATTTTACGTGTATTTTTGGAAATTTTTAAAAGTGTATTTTCGAAAATTTTTAAAAATTTTATATATATTTACGTGTATATTCTTTACATTTTATGTATATATTTCATTTTTTTATATATATTTCTTTTTAATTTATATATCAGGATTAATATCTCCAGTTTTGTGCCTGTATTCAACCACAGGTCGAGAGGAAACCTAATTAACATAAAGCGGATAATAGTGCCTAGGACTGTGCCACATCGAAGTCAACAAGAGTGTTTGCGCTCAGGATTATGCCCGAATTTTTGCTCATGCATCATCCCCTTCACTCAACGGAAATCGATTTCGATGACTACTCTCCATCGTTATAAATAAGGCTTATCGTCTGCTTCTCTACACAACCATCTTTCCAGGCCTGCGTGGAAGTGCAATGATGTACTGAAACTGCTGATTCATTCAAAAAAGTTAGATTTATCCGTCGATATTGTGTCCTCCCTCCTCTCTCTTTCCCCTCTGAATTCGCTTTTGCCTTTTCACGGCCTCGATGCACAGCAGTCAAACCATGTCACTTCTACCACTCAATCTGATTATATGATGGGGCGGCGTAATCGCCTGGCACTAGTTTTGCTGTATATAAAAGGTCTACCTTCCGATCTTTTGTTAAAGGCAAGCCTGGAAAGCCTACGTAATATTTTATACCTGCGAATGGAGATGCTGGATGAACGACTTACTACTGGACTGGATGGAAACGAATAAGCGTGCCGTGCTTTCTGCGAAATGTATTCGAAAGGAATAACTAGTCCAGCTTTTTGGGTAACTCGATGCTGCTCCTCCAGGATGACTGTATTTTTGACGCGCATTGTACGGACGCAAATGATGTCGATGGTTGCCAAAGGCTCGGTAATCTTTTACAGTTTTTTGCATAGATTTGGATAAAGCAGGTAAAACCCGATTGCATCATGCCCGCAATCTATGAAAGAATTGGGAAATAGGAAAAGTACGAATTAGCAGTGGACAAATCCTTCTTTTGAAAGACCCGAATTGCGAAGCTTTTTTTGAGCAAAAGAAGAGTAGATGGAACACATTTTTGGATTGCTATTTGGCATTAAAAAAAAAGCGACTGCATCTCAACGATTTTGCAGCTTGTGATCCCAATCAAGTTGACGAATCAGACACAGGACGATACAGTTAACTGCACTGATAGACATTGGGCATTTCCGGAAGGGCATTGGGCGAAATCGGCTGCTGCGAGCAAAAACACTAAATATGTTGGTCACATCCAAAACGGAACCCCCAGTGGTATCTT